ATTTCTTGAGTAGCTGCACAATTGGCGGCTTCTTAAGAAGGCCCCAGCTCCGTGATTGAGTGAATGAGTCCTAGAATTGATAGGAATATGAAGTATGAAGGGAAAACTTCAATTTGGGGAAAAGCTGAAAAATTGACATTACTATTTAATTAAGTAAACGATTTTTTTTGGACATCATTTCAGAGTAGACAAACGCTTTAGCTGCCTTCAGGACATACATATGTATAGAGTGTACTACCACAGTCAATAAGTTCGTGGAATGACCGCAAATGACTGCAGTTAAATGCAAGTGGCAGAAATCGAAAATGTGGCATTTTGAACAACGGGGAAACATCAAGTTCTGCCAAAACCTAGGCAAATCCCCTAGCGAAACATTTGGCGTAGGAAGAATTGGCCGTTGCTACACGACAACGCCCCTGCACATCGCTCTGTTCTTGTCCAAGAGGAATTGGAAAGGCAACAGGTCACCGTTTTGCCACACCCTCCATACTCACCTGATCTCGCACCATGTGATTTCTTTCTCTTCCAACGCTTGAGAGCAAAGCTATGTGGTCGTAGATTTCAGTCGACATAGGAAGTCGTCAATGCCTCAAGAGACCCCGTACGGGAATTTCCTGCCAGTATGTTCCAGCAATGTTTTCGACAGCTATATCAGCATTGGCAGACTTGCATAGCGGCCAATGGGAACTATTTTGAGGGCCGATGTGGATCTGCGTAAGTGTATCTGAATACCTTGTAATATGATGCGATAAAACCACATTCCACGAACTTAATGACTGTACTACATATGTTAGTTAGCCTTGTCACCATGAGGGACAAAATAACGGAATATTATAAAATAATTGTGGTTTCATGTCCTTTTATTTTAGCGCAAATATTTTATGAATGTATGAATAAATCGACATATATTTCTTGCAGTTCACTCATTATCAGGTGCCTGTTAAGAAGTTAATGTGTCCTGTCAGTATCTATTTTGTTTCCAAAATTTACTGAAGATACATGCATAAGATTATCCTACCTTAAGCCAACGGGCAGTTTGACGAAACTTTAACATGGTTGAAGTCATATTTGGGAAATAGAAGGCAAAGAGTGGAATTGTATACTAATGGGAATGAAAAAATGTTGTTCAGGATGGGAGATTGTTGAATATGGAGTGCCGCCGCAGGGCTCGATTTTGGGTCCCTTGCTGTTTCTTTTATATATCAATGACCTGTCATCAGCATTAAATACTGATAATAAGTTATTGTTGTATGCAGACAATACAAGCATATTAGTATCAGGCACTGATCTTGATGTAATCCAAGTAAGGTCTAACATTTTGTTGAATTCTTTAAGCCATTGGTTTGCATGTAATGGCCTGTCTCTAAATCTGAAAAAAAAAAACTAAAAGTGTTAAAATTTGATACAATTAATCGAGATAATATGTCTATACATTTAAAGTTTAATGATGAGATATTGCATGAGGAAACCCACGTTAAATTCTTGGGCACTGAAATTGATAAGACCCTGAATTGGAAGTCACAGATTGAACTGATGCTGTCTAGACTGGGCAAGGCATGCTTTGCAGTAAGAAACCTGAAATTGTATAGCAATATTGAAACACTAAGGATCATTTACCACGCATACTTTCATTCAATTATGATATATGGGATAGTATTTTGGGGAAACTCGGAGGCTAAGAAGATTTTCTTTTACAAAAGAAGGCCGTCAGGATAATGATGGGAATGAAACCCAGAGAATCATGTAGAACAGTTTTTAAAAAATTAAAAATTCTGACATTGGCCTCTCAATATATTTTATCTTTAATGATACTAATGATAAACAATTTGGGGCATTATACTTTTAATCATACAGTTCATGGTAAATCAACAAGACAAGTTAGAAACCTACATGTTCCTCGGTTACATCTAACAAAGAGGCAAAAAGGGGTCTATTGCATGAGTGTAAAAGTTTTTAATAGTTTGCCTGATTTTTTAATTGAGTTAGTACATAATAAAAAACAGTTTATTGGGAAACTAGAGGATGTATTGCTTCAAAACCCTTCTTATACTGTTGAGGAATTCTTGCTTTTCTGTCAAGACCTACAGCTAAGGAAAAGATGTGTCTGACAGTGCACACTTCACTAAACACTATGTCCTTGGCTGTGCTTATATATACTTGCTGCAATTTGTATTGCCTTTTAACTACTGTATGTGTTTTTGACAAGTATGGATTATATATGCTAGTGATTTCATTTGTGAATGTATAAGTGTCCAATATTTTGTTTGCTTGTTGACATGTTTTATATTCGGTGCCAGTGGCACATTAATGAATATTTTAAAGAAACGCAAATGTATATGTATGTATGTACAGTGAAGACATCTGTGCAGTTTTGTATATACTCCTCTTCAGGAACACAGGATAAATAAGTTAATTATATTATTTGTTTGTAGTTTATTTAACAATATTGTCAGTAACTCAGACCATATAACATTCAATCATCAGGAGACAGTAATGGTGAACTGGAAAAAATGTGAAAAGAAGTGGTACTATCCTGGCAGGACCAGGCGTGGATGTACCACTGAGCAGCCACTTAGAGCCTCAAATTACCATTCAGATTACAACTTTTACCATTTGTTGGGGATACTGCATAATGCAGTGGTACACTGAACTGGCGCACATAAAAATCACGGGAATGCTCCAGAACTGAACTATCAACTGATGAATTCTCATATGTATAATTCTCTGTGGTCTAGTGGCCAGAATTCCTTACTACAGAACTAGAGGTATGGGTTCGATTCCTGGTGCTACCAGATTGTCTGAGAGGTAGTGGGTCTGGAACGGGGTCCACTCAGGATAATTGAGGAGCTACTTGAATGGAAAAGTAGTGGCTCTGGTCTAGAAAACCGAAATTAATGGCTGTGGGGATTCGTTGCGCTGACCACGCAACACACTCTATCCGCTGGTTGGCACTGATTCTGCTGGAGATGTTAGTATTCTATAAACCAATCTGAGCAGTATGAACTTTGTGCAGTGAGATCTTCATAACCTTCATTCTTTTCATTACCTGCTGTTAAAAGTGCCAAGTGAACAGCTGATGAGGTAGAGTTGAAACTAGCATCTCTCAGTGCAGTGTCTTCAGACATCTTTAAGCTATACCCTGTTTTAAGAAGTCTATATATGTGCACACACACACACATGCATAAAATTAAGATTAACAACCTAGGGACCTTGAAAAATATTCACTTCCATGATCATGTCTGATGATTTCCTTTGCAGATTTTGTACTCTGTATGGCCTCTTTACTGGATTCTTCTTGGAGTATTCTCACATTTTCTCAGCTGTCACCATATGCCCCCCCAAAAATGAGAACATAATTAAAGTAAGGAAGAAACTGTTCACTTGGTAGATGTTTCACAAAACTGGTGCTTGAATCCATTTGAAAGAACACCAAGATGAGCAAAGGGACAAATAGGGACAAGGGAACTGTATCCATTTTTAATATCTGTAACTATTTACATTGAAGAGCAGTTTTGATCAGAAGAACATTTTAAAATTGTAGGAAAACCTGAGCAGTACATGTGCTTTCGGTACACCAGCGAGGTAAGTACCTAAGTACATAAAAAATCACAGACATCTTCCATATTAATAAAGCCATCTATAAAATGTACACTGTTAGGCTGAGCGCACACCAAGGACACTGGCAGATAGAAATGCATACAGCTGAGCCATTAGTACCTTTTGAGGTTGAAATTACTATTGCAAAATTGGAAAGGTATAAATCGCCAGGTAATGATCAATTTCTGGCAGAACTTATTCAAGCAGTAGGCTCAATATTATGTTCTAAGATCTGCAAGCTAATTAATTCTATATGGCATAAGGAAAAATTGTGTCTGTTATTGTACCACTTCACAAGAAGGGTGATAGAACTGACTGTAGAAATTACTGGGGGATATCACTGCTATCAACTTCATGCAAAATTTCATCCAATATTCTTGTCTCAATGTTAAGTCCATACATCGATGAAATTATTGGGGATCATCACTGTGGGTTTCAACGTAACAGATCAACTACTAATCACCTCTTTTGCACTCGTCAGAAAATGGGAATAGAATAAGAGTACATCAGCTATTCATGGACTTCAAGAAAGCATATGATTCAGTTAGGAGGGAAGTATTGTACAATATTCTCATAGTTAGAGATACCCTTGAAACTAGTTAGGCTGATTAAAATGTGTTTAAACGAAACATATTTTAAAGTCTGTATATGTAAATATTTGTCTGATAATTTCCCTATTCTGAATGATCTAAAACAAGATGGTTTATCACCACTCCTTCTCAACTTTGCTTTAGAATATGCCATTAGAAAGGTCCATGAAAACCAGGTGGGACTAAAATTAAATGGGACATCAGCTGTTGGTCTATGCTGATGATATGAATCTACTGGTTTTTGGACTGCTGTCCAAAAACACAAAAATTATAATATACAAAACTAAAATTTTGCCTATGGTTCTGCTGACACAGCTGTAAGAAAGTTTTTATCTTGTCTTCGAATTTGAGGTCCTCCAAGATCCACTAATGAAGAAAAGCTTTCAGTGCTCATTCTGTAAAGTGATTTGAACAGTTCTGTATGCTGATTAAATTCTTTGGAAACAATATAAACATCTGACTTTAAATTGTGAAAGAACGGGTGCACGCAATGTTTCCTTTTCTCCCGTTTTCTCATCTTACGCCGTCTGAACCACCACCATATCATTATAGGCACAATAATATTATCTGACATTGCAGAAGAGAAGTTTCCGAAATTGGCTGGTAAACACACCCACTTGAGATGTTTTGAGCAATTAGTCGAACGTAAGTTTCGTCTGTGTGCGCCTGTTAATGTGGAAACCAGTTGCCTGCTTGAAATCGGCGATATTTCTCGGAAATCGTGGTTGCGTTGCGGTTGCTACTTTCTTTGGTGTGCGCCCGGTCTAAGATCATGAAGGAAAAAGATTTAGTAGTAGGTGGCGCTAATCGATAATCGATTAATTATGTTCCCGCGAAAATGTTGAAAGTCGAGCCCGTTCCAAACAAATGATAGAAATGTTGTGAATACGTAAGAGCGAGATATGAATGCTAGAAAAAGACCAATGCGTTACGCCCATTCAGATGGCCACACGGACGTATGCTACACTAATAATGGAAAGTAAGTAAAAGATGAAAATACGGAATGGTCTGCAAGCACCTGAGGTAAGTAATTTATTGAGAGGACAACTGAGAGCAGACCCCCCCCCAGCCAGCCATTATACCGCTGGCGAATAATAAAGGAGCACAAGCTACAAATGATAGAAATCTTAAATCTGGCAGCTGTTTAAAATTACACTGTACTGTTATTACATAGGTACATTCTTACATGTGGAATAGACGGAGACGTGAGAATTTGGGCTGGCCTTGAAGATGATGATCCAGCTTCACATTGTGTGGGAGAACAAGCATTTGCAGTTGTCCATAAGGTGAGTACAGGAAAAATTATTACGATAATATATGGGAATTCTTCTAGATTGATTGACGAATTTGGGTTATGTTACAGTTTTGATGAAATCTGTGCAGTCGTGACTAATGAAAACTTACATTAATATTATGTAGTATTCTGATCACATACATCTCTTTTTCCAGAATGATCATTATTATGTTGGAACTGACAATAATAATGTACAAGCTTACACATTCCCTGAATCAGACAGAGATGGGATTATATCACGCTTCACTGCAGCTGTTACTCATATTGATATTAGTAGTGATGGCAAGACAATTGTTGCAGGGTCCAGGTATGCCTAATAGTGCTATTCTTTTCATAACTTGCTTCTTAACAGCACTAGCTAACCTGGAGAGACCTAGGACACATTTGGTAACATCTTTACAGTTATATGTGCTACTTTTGAACAAACTGCTAAACTGGCCTGTATTAGAGAACATGTAAGAAATGTGCGTGATATCATAAAATTTGAGGTTCTCATGGAAGTAAGTATTAAAATTATGACCTTCTGGAATGTGATGTTGTATAGTTTGGTACTTGGCTACCTTCACTCTGTGTAATTGAGTAGATAGATACGGTGACTGTACTTTGGTAGATAGATGCTGTGACACTGTGTAGTTTGGTAGGTAGGTAGGTACTGTGACACTGTGTAATTTGATAAATACAGGAAATCCAATGTATTCTTAGAATGGCCAGCTAAAAATTTGTTCGTGCCTATCTCCTGCTGGCAACTGAACGATTGCTTAGTTATCCAGTGCTTACTGTCTTATATCAGTAATGCTGCTTGTTTAGTATGTTTGAGGTACTTGCAAATGTAGTACACAGTGTTGTGAATTGTAGTGTTCAGAAATGAAATATATCAAACAGAAATTATTCATGTATGCTACCTCTGTACAGCATTCTTCATGGAGGAAATGTTTGTAGAAAGTAACATAGGAAGTATCCTGACACTATAGTGCACTGTAAAGCAGTGATTCACAATATCATAACAACATTATGTTTTATGGGACCAGTGCTTGGAAAAACAATATCTCAAAATGGTATGACTGAAGAAGACTTTGAAATTAGCAGGACTCAATTGGAAGCAAGCCTGAAGAAGCTGTTACATATTTTAGTTCTTCAGTGTAAGTTGGCAAAGTGTACAGCTCAGTAGAGTGCAAATTTGCTGAAGTTATGACCTTGTGGTGTGACGTCACAGGTGGAAAGCAACGCTGTAAAGTAGCTCCGAGTTTTGCGTTTATTTTCTATAATATTAATCAATTTGAATAATATCAGATTGCTCATCTTGATTGTCCTAGGTTTCTAGATTGTTTCTGCTATACATATGTTATAGCTTAGACACGTAATATTTAGAAACTTTTAACATTATAGTCTCTTAGCTTAGATAAACGGGTCCGCCATTTTGGATTCAAGGATATTTAACCTATACTGAAATCATAAACAAGAAGACTAACTGTGAATAAAGTGTAGTTTTCATATTGAAGATAAGTAAATCTAAATAACATAGTGAAGTGAATTTTAAGTGAAGAGAATAAAGTGAAAGGTGTAGGTCCTGAAGTGTTAATCTTATATTACATCTACGTGTTTGTGAGTGGCATTAAGTGAAATAGTTCTCGTGGATTAGCTTTATAGGGAATAAAACTGTAAAAAGGTAGTAAATAGTAATAGTATTAGTATATATTGTAAAGATGACCGGTAGCCTTCCGGGTAAATGTGAAGCTTGCCGTAGATGGGTAACAAACGGCATTATTTGTATTAACTGTGGCTGCTGCTTCCACATAAACTGTGCAAGCACCAGCCCCAATTTAGATGACAAAAGCGTGCCTTGGATCTGTATGTCATGTAAGTACCATAGGCATGCAAAGCATCAAGAGGAGAGAATCAGACTCCTCGAACATGAATTAAAGATAGCAAAAGAAGAAATTAGAAAGCTGAAAGCTG